TGTACGGAACATTTATTACTTCACAGTCAGTTTCCTCTGTCACTTGGCACCTTTTTATCGGTGTGGAGACGAGGTTTGTGTTTTCCATGTTGAACCTCTGAAGAATTGATTCAGCATACATCTTTTGACTTATGAAAATCGAGTCATCATGTTGACGATTAATTAAGATGCTCAAAAAAAAATCCAAGTGGTTTTATAGTTATTTTAAATTTTTCTTCCAAATTATTGAGTAATTTGTTGATACTGACTTTACTCGTTGCAGCCACTAATCCGTCTTCGACATACAGGACAACAATTAGTTTTTCACCACCAGATATCTTATAACATAAGCAGGGATCTGCCGTACTTTGCCTTTGCTGAAGTTTAAGATCAATCATGACGTCCCTGAATCGAGAGTTCCAACATCTGGGAGACTGCTTTAATCCGTACAAACTTCTGTAAAGTTTACACACGCGATCAGTTCCATCTCCGTAGCCTTCAGGTTGATTCATATAGATATCCTCTTCGATCAAGCCATTCAAAAAGGCAGTCTTCACGTCAAATTAACCCAACTCTAATTTTTCATTAGCCGCAACACTTAATACTGTACGAATTGTGTCAAATCTGGCAACTGGACTGAACGTCTTACCATAGTCAATACCTTCTCGTTGACTGAATCCTCTTACGACAAGTCTCGCCTTGTAGCGGCTAATTTTTCCTTCAGCATTCCTCTTAATACGGTAAATCCAATTAGATTAGAGATGGCTCTACGACCGACTGGTAAATCAACTAACGACCACGTTGAGTTTTCCTCCAAAGAAGCTAATTCCTCCCTCATAGCTGCTTTCCAATGTTGACTAATCGATGAATTAATCGATGCTTGTTCGAAACTTCTCGGTTCATCCATTTCAGCAAACATCAATTCAACCAAGCGACGAGGCGGCTTTAATTTGGCTCTATCACGCAAAGCACGTTGAGATTCGGCCATCGGTTTCGGAGTTTCATTCAATTTATCATCCTCGTTAGTTTCTTCAGGGGAATTTCCAAATAAGGAAGACGGCAATGAATCCTTATTTTCATTATCAGTTGGAGTATTAGAATCATTATTTGTTGAACCATCAGATTGATCAGGTATCCAAGCAAGTGTCTTTCCTGGACACTCTGGTTTAAACACAACATTCCTACTGCGGATGATTTGATTGGTGTATTTCAACCAGATCCGATAGTCTTCAGTACTATTTGAATATCCAACAAGAATGCCATGTTGAGCCTTCGAGTCCCACTTCTTACGGCGTTCTTTAGGTATGTGTACAAAACACGGTGTTCCAAAAACGCGAAGATTCTTCAGATGCGCTCTCTTCCCAGTGAATAACTCATATGGAGTTTTGTCCTCAACACGACTTGGTCCGGTTCGATTAAGGATGTATACTGCAGTGTTGACTGCTTCTGCCCATAAGCTCTTCGATAATTCTTTGGACAACAGCATTGTACGAGCAAACTCGACCACGGTTCGGTTTGACCGCTCAGCACACCCATTCTGCTCAGGGGTGTATGGATTCGAAATTGCAAATGTGATACTATTAGGTTCCTACAACTTTCGAACAGATTTGTTGTCAAATTCCAACCCTCCGTCGCATTGAAAAGTTTTTACAGATCTTCCAAGTTGAGTTTTCACAACTTGCAACATTTTATTTATTTTTCCAACAGTTTCAGACTTTTTCTTCAAAAAGTAGACCATGCGCAGCCTTGAGTAGTCACACGTGAAGCATATGAAGTATCTTGCCCCTCCAAGCGATGCTGTTTCCATGGGCCCGCAAAGATCGGCATGAATGACTTCACCAGGCGATTCCGCACGCTGTTGAAGCTGTTGGAAACTGTTGCGATGCTGCTTTCCCTCTATGCATGAACCACAAAACTGATTGTCATCAAAAAAATCAATTTGATTTTTCTTTAGAAACTTTCTTACATGAATTTTATTCTGATGACCGAGTCGCTCGTGCCACATATGTAGAGACTCTTTTGATGACAAGTTAACCTCTCCTACACATGCTTTGTTTGGCTGCTTCACACGTATTGCCATCTTAAAAAGCTGACTAACACGTATTCCACGAGCTTTAATGACACCATCTTTCATGAATTTACAACTGTCTTTCGAAAAGCTAAGTGTCAAGCCTTTATCCAGAGCTGAAGTTACCGAAAATAAATTTCGTTGAGCAGCCGGTACGAACAACACATTTTCCATCCG